GAGAAAGGATGGAGGGCAAAGGGAGGAGTGAGGGGAAGGAGGGGCTGAGGAAAAGAGGAAAAGGGGAAGGGAAGGGAAGTGAAGAAAAGGGGAGGGAAGTGAAGGAAAGGGGAGGGAATGAGGGAAGAGAAATGAAGCAAAGGAGGGGGAGTACAGCGTAGAGGAATGTGAGGAGAGGGAAAAAAGGACAGGAGTACACAAGAGTACGAACCAATAAAAAAAGATAAAAGAAAGATTCCAAGGTGTGGAAAAGAGATGAAAAGGGAAGTGAAAAAAGAAAATAAGGGAGAGGTGTAGAGGGAATCCAGAAGAAAGAGAGAAAGAAAGAGAAAAAGAGGAGTACACGCTGATTTTGCAGGGATACAGGTGTGGAGGGAGCGTAGAAGAGGAGAGAGAGAGAGAAAGAGAGACAAAGAGAGGAGTAGAAGCTGATTTTGCGGCGATTCCAAGGTGAGAAGGGAGAGTAGGAGAGGAGACAAAATGAAAGAGAAAGAGAGACAAAGAGAGAGAAAGAGGAGTAGATGCTGATTTGAGGTGAAAGAGAAAAAGAGGAGTACACGCTGATTTTGCAGGGATACAGGTGTGGAGGGAGCGTAGAAGAGGAGAGAGAAAGAGAGAAAGAGAAGAATAGACACTAGCTATGCAGTGATTCCAAGGTGTGGCGAGAGTGTAGAAAAGGAGAGAGAGAAAGAGAGAGAGAGAGAAGAGAAGAGAAAAGAAGAGAGAGAAAGAAAAAGAAAAAGAGGAGCAGACGCTGATTTTGCAGTGATACCAAAGTTCGCAGTAGACACTAACTATGCTGTGATTCCAAGGTGTGGAGGGAGCGTTAAAGAGGAGAAAGAAAGAGAAAGAAAGAAAGAGAAAGAGAAAAGTAGACATTAATTATGCTGTGATTCCAAGGTGTGGAAGGAGCGAAGAAGAGGAAAGAGAAAGAAAGAGAAAGAGAAGCTTATACGCTAGTTATGCGGTGATTCCAAGGTAACAGATGAGGTCCCTTCATTAGCGTTTGAGAGTAAATGAAACCTTAAGTAAACTGTTGCCGTTATTAAGTGCAGGGGCTAATGGCTGCCCTGCCTTGGGTCCAGCCGTATATTGGTGACGTTTGCTTTCATTAGAGGTCTAATCACCCCGCCTCTCTCAGACCGTCCGTGGGATAAAAATAAAAAAGGATTGCCTTTAAAATAAAAAAAAAGTGAAATAAAATTTGTTGATGTATGAACAGCTTTTGTAATCGTTATAGGTTTTGTTGTATCGATTTTTCAGTCCAGAAAAATCTGCCAATTAAAGGTTTGTTAAAGATATATTATTAGTGTTTGTAATCATTGTAGGCTTCGTTGTTCCAATTTTTCAGAAAAAAAAAAATGAATTAGATTGAACGAAATTAGGGAAATAATGATATAGAGTTAAATACGACAGTGATATAAGACAATAAAATAAAAATCATAATGATCATAATAAACAACCGAAAAATGTGATTTCTTTGTTCAATATCCTTTGCAAGGAAAGAAAGTAGGTATTACCAGTAGGTATTTAAACGTCCATCAGTCCAGTCAACTGCAACAAAGATGATAAATAAAAAGATATTCCGTCAATAACATGTCATAATCATTCATCATAATATGACTTCCTCGAAACCATACAGTCCTATGAACTACATGGAAAAAATAATAAAAAAATATATTTATATACATTTGCTAATAATCATCATAGGTCTGCACAGAAGCCCATCCAAAGCACCATACTATGAATAATTTAATGATATCAACTGCGATTAATTAAATAAATCGCCAAATAGATTAACCAAATTAATGAAAAAAGTCATCATCTAATCGCAAGAAAATGACTCTTAACGGTTACATTAATAAATGATTAAGAATTATACATTTAGCCCTATACACAAACCCATTTATTTGCAAGAAGGTACGTATTTCAAGTTCTCACATAATAACCAAAAAATAACAATAAAATACAAATGAATGGATGATAAGGATAGTAAAAATATACAATAGAATTATTAATAAAAAATAAATCATATATTCCTAAGAAATCATATATTCCTAGGTAAGTAGGCTGAGTTTGAATATTAAGCAAAGTAATATCATTACTGAATTAATTAATGACATTGATATTTATATGTTCATGAAACCAGTCAACTGCAATATAGATGATGAATAGAGAAATAGATATATCATAATGATTCCTAATTTCAGAACGACTTTAAAAAATCGAGTTAAAAACATCTAATGACTGTGATAAACATTTATTCATATGCAATTAAAGGCCATATGCAGTCAACTACAGCAGAAATAATAATATTTATAAAATGTTAACCTTGAAAATTAGTAATGCAATATACATAAGACATAAATGAGTGAGAATTTAATAAATAACTAAATAGGTAAGTGAATAAATTAATACTTGGACGAATGAACGAATGAATAGATAAATAGATAAATAAGTAAACCTTAATAAAAATGTAATAACATTAATATTCATTGAATATCTTATAGTAGTTATTATTAAATCCCTATAAATGTAAGTACAGGAAAACAAACGATTTCAGTGATAACATGCCAACCAAAATTAATAAAACAGACGAAATTAATCACAACGATGATTATTATATCATAAAAATAAAACTGATAAAAGCTTAAGGAT